AGTCTTTAAAATAAAACTAAATGCTTTCAATATAACTATTGGAAAATCCCGAATTTATTTCCAGCGATTATTAAATGTAATTTTATTATGTAGGTATTCCAAATGGAAAACCGACATAGGAATGTTTTGTATTGAAATACAAATTAATTTCAATGGTATATATTTACTATATATAGTAGCTGATAGTTTTAAAATTGGTTTTCCAAATATGTTTATTATGAAATTATGAAACATATATATTTACTGCTTAATTTTATTTTAGCATGCCTACAAACGGGTGTATGATCTATAGGTAGTGTCTAATGTTCTATTTGTATATCCTCCTTATTTATAATGATTATTGATTAATGAATTGAACCGCACAATAAAAGCGAACGCGATATCAGACAGTATCTCCATAATCCTATACAATTTCCACGAACTTCTAACCCTTTCAACGCCAAACTTATACAATCACAAATTCTCTTTCAATCCCCCAAATCCGGGCGTGTTGTCGAAACTGATGCCCTATTGTTTACGCATTCTACTGATCTGTTATTTATGTACCGCTTTTGTTTTCTAAAGACATCGGTCCTCGATACCCTACGTAAGCAAACGAAGGGTTAACGGATTTTCCATAACAAGATGTTTGTAGACAAATAAATTGATAACAATAAGCTTTTGAAGATTAATTGAATATATAGATGTGACATAATTTTATTTCAAAATAACGAAATGAAATAATAATTTGTTTATTTTGTATAAATGTTAAATGAAATTAAAATAAATCAATAAGTAAACGAATTAGTTACGCCGATATTTTATTTATGAGGTAAATCAGTCATATTTTCTTTATTGTATTAAAAATATTAATAAATTAGTCTCGGTTGCATTAGCTTTACGGTAGAAATTACTCATTTCTAGCTTTTCCATTTTAATCAAATTATGAAACCTATTTATTTATGACCTGGGTATAATAGGTTATTTACTAAAGCTACTTAGAATTCTAGTTAACGAAGAATTATTACATAACATAATCGATCGCTTAATTAATGCAACAATTAATAGTTAACCAAGAATTAATAGAAATTAATTCATTTGATATATAAATGATTAATATGAATTAACTAGAACAGTTACTTACTAATGACTTTATAATTTATACAACGATTTGTTTTAACTGTAATTATACAAGTTATGTCACATAATAATCTATATATAGGTAGTATTATATATATATATAAGATTGTCATATATATTCTTAAACATGTATTTATGAATCCGGATAAATTAATGGCGTATAACGCGTATATATAAAGGAAATAATTAAATATACAATTTATGTAATTGAACGTCAACGAACGTAATTAGGTTTAAATAATAATTTAATACTATAATTGGGTAGAGCAAAAATATTTTAATTAATAAACGGTATGCAGGAAAACGATAGCAATAATATAAATTATTATTGCAAAAATACATACATTATTATATTAACTGTTATCAATTAATTTAACAACGTGTTTTCCTCGTTGTTACTCAAATAAAATCGGAATTTCCAAATTTTGTTTGTCACATCGATTTCTGGTAATAATTAGCCATGATAATTCTAATTATTGTTGTTATGGTGTTAGCAATATAATTAATAACCTACCTATATGTTTACATAAGTACCTATATATATCCTACCTACCTTATTTATATAGTTATTGTGTAAATTAGAGGAAACCAGGTTATACTATGTGTTACGCACCGAGTTCATTTCGGAATGTAGGTACCTATATTTTATTCGTTGGATAGACCAGATAACAATTAAACTTACATTGTGTTTTTAATTTGTAAGGTAAATAACCGCTCTAGTAATGCTTTATATACATGTATGTGCATGTAAAGAATTAAAAAGTACCTATAATTATTTCTACAAAACCAATTACAATATAGGCTACCTAATACCCTTTGGGACTAAACTGAATTTATATTCTATGCATAAAAAAGGAAAACTTAAAAACCAAACTGTACAGAAAAGTACTAGCCTAATATTAACTCACACATGCTCATTTAAATAAAAGGCAGGCAAATTAATCGTAACAGATATTAAAGCTGCCTTATTCTTTAAATCTATAAAACGCGGAACAAAACTGATTTACCGAAATCAAAATGTAAAAGCATAAAGGAAATTCAAAACTTTCGAGATCCAAAATAAAAAACATAAAGTCCAACATATAATTAACTAAAATGCAACCACTACACAATTGTAACTAATATTTTCAATTCTACATAAGATGGCGATGTGTGCAGTTCACAAACTGTCTATAGTTAAGAAAATAAAACGGTAACTAACCTGTTAATGGTCCAACGGGGAAATGTGACTGGAACAGCGGACCGAAGGAAGGCACGACAGGCGGCGGGCCCGGCCAGCCCGTCAACCCGTACGCCGCCACCGCCAGCGCACTAAACGGCGTCGGCCGCACCAGCTGCGCCTTCTCCGACGGACCTCTCTCCTCATCCTCACTCGGCAAACCATTCTGCAGGTCTTCCACATCTACTATCGAGTCTTCTTGGTTAACTGAGTCCTCATACTCATCTTCAGAAGAAGTAACAGTCGCTGACATATTTGATATATTCAAATTCAAAGGTGGCGTTTGAGACGACGGCCTCGGAGACACCGACTTCCCACCGGGCAGCTCAGGCTGCGCCGACGGAGACTGCCTCAACGGAGACTCCGGGATTGTCCTGTGGTGCCTGATCATCTCCGCCGTCTCATCCACTTGGCTCGCTTTCGTATCCGCCAATATTGACGCCACGCTGAAACTGATCCTCGATGCCTTGGGTGGCTCCGTCGCTTCGGCAGGGCTGCTCGGGTACCTCGAAACACTCTGTATCGCCATGTTCACTTCCTTGTCCTCGTAGCTTTGTTTCTTTAACATTGAACGCTGGTTAGTTCCATTTAGCACAGCCGGTTCACACTAGGGCGCGATCTACAGATCGTGTACGCATGCGGGCGCAGTCGGAGGTTGACTGGCGGACAGTGGCGGTGCGCGGCGGCCGGGAGCCTGGGGGCGGGCGTGGCGTGCAGCGCTCCGCCCCGCCAGACCCGGCCCGCTCCGCCAATCCACCGCTGGCCTACCGATTGATCCGCGCGGGCGTCGGGGGGAGCGATTTAGCACGCTCTTATCTCGTTAGTCTCCTTTGTGATACTCGATTTTTTTTGTAGGAATCAAAACATAATTACCTTTTGTAGGGGTTCGCGCGTTTTGATCGCACACTTTATGCCCGCCACCAGAGGTATAAAGTATAAAAATATAATGAGCAGTCGTGAATGCCGCTTGTTAAATCCTTTTGAGCGTTCTCTGCTGGTCCCTTTGTAGGATTAGCGCCGAGGGGGCATTGGTTTGATGAATTCTGCTGCGTCCGTGTTTACGGATCCGTTTCAAATTAGCACAAATGATTTACAACGGAGCTGCTCACTGTTATTTATATTTTGATTTATATAACTTTTATTGTAAGAATGTCTTTGCGATATAATAAGTGCCTGTTTAAAGAAGGCGTTTTTTGAAAAGTTCCTGGAAAATTTTTCTTTTATCCCAATTACCTACTCTTTTTATAATAGTACCTAAAATTGTATAACGATCTAATCATTCTACATCAAGATCAAGGTGCACTGACCAAAATAACATACAACTTAAAACAGGAAAATAGTAAATTGTAAATAATGTAAACTATTCATTTAGGCGCCAATACTAACCACAAATGGTGGGCACTAGAAATAGAATAAGGTAACATGTATGATGAGTAATTTATTCTTGGTAGAAATTATGGAATATTTCTCGAAGTGAATAAACAAAACATTAATACCAAATAAGATGACATTTAATAAAATATGTAAAGAAAATACCTGATGAAGTCAATATTATTAATAGAATCTTTAACCAACGTGATTCAATAGAAACAGATGATGTTTTTGTAGAAATGGAGGAAAACAATAGAATTAAAAACATTTTAAATATGGCATTTCTTTAGTGTGTCAAAGTCAGTTGGCATAAAGATTTTGCTTAGAAGAACAAAATTGGCTTTATAGACCCATGACTGCACAAAATGCATTAGGTTAATTTTCTACTAAAGCCTTATTATGCACGAAATTGAATATTTTAAAATGGAACCGAAAAATTACCAAAATTGCAATATTTTTAAGACTGTCACTTTCCAAGACGTTGTTGATGAAGATAGAAATTTAAAAACGAATCTTGTGTATCTTCAAAACAAAAGTAAAGTCGTGTAGCGTAACTCATCGAAATATAATTGTTATTAAAACCTCATAACTATCAGCCAACTTTATGCTATAAGCAATAATGGCCCGGTTGTTACTGCTCACGTAATTAAAATCAGATGAAACTTTTCCCACCAGATATTAATATCCCTATAAATCGGCAAACGCCATACAATCATCAATTTATAAGCTGCCAACAAGATGGCGTCCAAAAAATCTTCACAAACGGATAAACTCAATCAAAATTAGATAAGGGTTGTTACTTGTAACTTAAAATAAACACCAACTATCTTCACAGTCGGTTAGCGGCAAAACCGGAGGGTGACAATCCTATTCACGCGACGTCATAAACGTCAAACAAGGGGTGATATCCGATATCTACTGTCTCTATCGCACTTACGGAATACACTAAATAGGTATTTAGTATTCGGAAGGGGAAAATAGTTAATTTTGTGGGGTGAGATGGAAAAAATTGTCGACAATAACATATTTTGCTGTCATTTTCGCGTTCGGTAGATGGCGGTAGAGTCGATTATTGGTTGTTTCGTTGTAAAAGTGGTTTGTAAGTTGTGGGGAACAGTTTTCCTTATTGAATGTGTGTGATATAAATATAAATGTTATTAATTATGATTGGCTTCATTGATTTTGGCTTAGAAGGTGTTTGTTGAAGCTGGGGGAGCATTGAGGTTGACTGTTATGATTTGATAGTATTCGGTTTTCGTATGAAACTGTTTTGCCAATAACTTAATTGTGAGTTTAACCCTATTCTTGGCAGGGTGTACAATTTGATACATTCAACTTTTAGAAAATCTAGAGATGAGAGGAGACGTGAAGAGACATATTTTATTATCTACCATGCTAGCAAATATGATACTTATTCTACTAAAAATTGTTTTTTACCGTTTGCAACATTCAAACAACAGTAGAACGCAAGTTGGTGGACCGGTCGCAGGCGTCTGCGCAACGCAAGGTAAACAAAAATTGTTTTTTATTACATTTTCACTTTATTTTGTTAAAAAGTGGCATAATTCAAAGATTTGAATGTATTTACTAATTGAAAAAGACAGTATCATGAAAGAAAATAGGTTTTAACCGTAAGTTTCACATTGTTTTTTTCGAGTGTGGCAAATCTGATACATTGCCAGATAGCCAAAATTCAACATATTTTTTTATATGTATCAAATTTGTGACATTGCCAGACTCGTGTAGATACTGATATTTTTATATTTTAATTGTATTTATCTGTTGCAGGTGGTTCAGCAGCTTAGTATGCAACAGCAAAGAAGAGCCAGACAGCTCGTGGCTCTTGTTCCAAAACCGGGGGCTAAATCGGATCAAGACGAAAGTGAGACATCTGAAGACGAGTTACAATATTGCTTCCATTCAAGGTATTCCGATAGTAGTTCACCACCTCCATCACTGCCGTCTTCAATAGAGAACCTTAACCTATTAGCCGATGATGATAATGAGGTAAATGAAGTGGTTGCTTCAACATCTTTGGCCCTATACCAACAGTCATCACCGTCAATTAGTGCCTGTTCGCCATCAATATTATCGCCCAGTGGTGATGGCACCTGCCATCACCACTATTTGCACCTTCTCCCTCAGCGGCTACTCGCTCAAAAAGACCCCGAGTTGTCGTGGTAAAACATAAAGTATTACCACCCAAAAGACTGCAGCCTACTTGGCGTTATTCTAAATTTACCGGCTCCGCCGAAGTCGAAAATAACGCATTTATGTTGCGTGAAGAGAAAACTGCTATTGAATACTTCAAGCTGTTGCAAGCAAGCAGATGACATTATCTCTCACATGGTGCAACAAATAAATATATATAGTACACAAACAAATGGCAGCTCAATAAATATTACGGAGGATGATATAAAAGATTTTCTTGCAATCCTTTTACTTATGGGAGTTGTTAAAATGCACGCGTATACAGATTATTGGTCCAAAATTTTACGCTACGGCAAAGCAGCTGATATAATGACTCTGAAGAAGTTTCAGTTACTAAGGCGATATCTACTTACATTTTAACGACAATTTGAAAGACGATGGCGATAGATATCACAAGGTGAGGCCGCTTCTTCAAAGATTTCGTGAGAACTGTCTACAAGTAGAAGAAGAGACGCGTTTCAGCGTCGATGAAATGATGGTTCCCCATAAAGGTACCAGAGCAGGAAGCCGCAGACAATATATAAAAAATAAACCGAAAACATGGGGGTATAAAATATTTGTTCGCGCTGGTATATCCGGAATAGTTTATGATTTCCTGATCTATGGAGATGACAAATTTAGGTTTCACTCATTTACAGACGAAGAAAATACTATGGGGCTCGGAGCAAAAGTAGTTTTAGATTTGGCGAAATCTTTATATATAATAAATATTGTTATATAATAAATATAATAAATATTATTTAAAAGTCTGATATTTTAGTACATACTTGTGATTGATCTCAGTATCTCAATAATAGATGTAAGTAAATATAAGCTTTAAAAGCTGATAATATGATAATTGTTGATTTTTATAATTTTATGATAAAACAAAATAATTGTTGTAGTATTTATGTTATTTCACGTTAGAATGTGATATTTTTGTTTTTGATTTTCCTTGTGGGAAGCCTGGCAATGTGGCAAATATGACACATAGATATTATAAGGTTGATTATTGTTGATCTGGCAATGTACCAAATATGATACATTAAATATATGGCAAATTATTACATATATATTTTTTATTTTATTTTTTACACCTTCTACAAATACCTATGAACCCATTTTATGCAAAATTTTTCAACATTTCAACAAAAAAAAGTCCTGCCAAGTATAGGGTTAAGAACAGTTATGTATGGCTTTAGAGTACTAGACAGGTCATGAAGGTATTTTTAGTAGATACAGATGATTGAAGTGAATTGACTGTCTAAGATTCACTTTATTAAGAAGAAGAGCCAATAAAGAACAAGTAGACTAATCATATACCAGCACTTCGTCTTACTAAATTCTTTCTTATCACCCAAACAAAATGACAAGCACAAAGATGTCGATTAAACTGTCAAACACCAAGCGGTCACCGGTGACCGCAACCTATTATTCTATAATTGTGTCTATAATGACGGTACTCGACGAGTTAACAGACTTCCTAAGCTTCCTAAAAAATATCTCCAAGAAAATCAGCGTCCTAATTAAAGACAAAATTAGCAACATACATATTCACTAATGACACGACACATTTCATCCACGTGTTGCCAACATTGCCAGTGTTGCCATACAAATGATGTGGCATTCTGAACGCCGTCGCAAATACGGCCCGCTCACATACAAAAATGTATGGAATCCACTATTATGATTTACGTGGCCACGCAAAAAAAAGAATGTGAGAAAAAATTTGAAGAAGTTTTGAGACAAATGATGTTCCGTTGTTTTTACGCTTAGAAATAACTCTACTGTTTAATTTAAAATGGGTATTTTTTTCATTTTTATGTTAATTCGACTACCTACGTACCTACGTAAAATTTTATACTTTTATTACATTGTAACATTTTAGTGTTAAAGATATTCAGAAGGCTACTCTTTCCTCTCAGATGACTAGTGAACTTGATTGTGATCCCTGCGATATAAAAAACTCGTTAGAATAGTCAGAAATTAGTTCATACTTATTATTTATTTAGAAAACCAACAGCGATACATATGATATAGAGGTAATACAAAATAAAGATATTACAGTTTAGTAAGGCTAATAATAGGTTTCCCTACTTAACTTAATTTGTATTTACCATGCGAACGGACTTTAAACAATATTTAAACAATATTTAACCCTTATTATATACCTTCACTGATAATGTCAGTAGGTTACATACTCACTCCCAGTATTCTCATTTGTCGAAAACAGACCTAGAGCCTAGGGCTATGGCGTAATTTTAGACTCCAAGTTACAAATGAAGATTTGAAAAAAATAATAATGAGAAACTAAAATAACACAATTATGAATATTATGCAACTTAAAATTTACTAAAACTAAAATAATCAATAAAAGAAAAATTTTAGACGCTCGGTATCTTACCTTCTTAGTAATGGTAAGTACTTACGCTCACAGACAAAAACTCTAAACCCTTCAAAACTCTATTTCCATCACAAAAAGCACATAATCGAATAAAAAAGAAATGTTAGATAAATAGGTACTTAAGTACCAACAAATCCATCACCATATTTAGCATTTATCACAGGCTGTAGCTATAAATGATGCTCTCGTAAAAATATCACCCAAAACATTTATTCATTTGAACAAGTAAATTAAAATAGATATATAAATCACGCTGTAGCTACCGTGCGGGCGTAGGCGACGGGCACAGACTAGCTATGTTGTAGACACGACACTTTTAAGAGAATGAAATGAATACAAATTGGTTGTTTTACATTTTTCGACGCATAGTGTCTAGTACAAAAACATTCACATGTTCTAAATATGTAAACAACAATTGGTTAGGTAAAGACTATCGGAATATAGGGCCAATTTTTCAATACTGAGATACATTTTAACTGAGGAATAACTTTGAATATTTGACAATTCTTCTATATCTACTAAAAACTGTCAACTGTCAATTTTATTCAACAGTTAAGAATGAACTGATGATTGAAAAATCTGCCCTTCATCAAAACTTATTAAGAAAAAAAGAGACCCTTAAGTGATACAGGCAATATCTATCTACGAATATTAACTTGCTTACTATCAACGATGTATAAAGTTGTACTTACATTTTCAACTGTACGCACAATACACCCCCAAAACTCCAGTAAATAGTAAGGTAGGTAGGTAGATAAAAATAAGGCATTCTTCAAAAATCTCTGTTTCCTAATTATAGTCTTTGCCGTATCGTTGATGAGCGCGCATACCCACAGCATAATGAGACTAGTGAAACCAGGAACATGTCAATTAGCAGACATTTTGCCGTTTATGTTTTTTGCCGCCGAAAAAATATGATTTATGGACAAACCGTGGAACATGACACTCGTTGTGGCCGTTACTAATTGTCTATGGGTTTTGGTTATGATTGTTAAGGATGGAATTAGTCGAGTTGAGTGGATGGTCCCAAAATCTTATGTAAGAGTTTTTAATTCGAATCTGGATAGCAAACCTAGACGCAGACTGTGCTAAGTTTAAACACAGTTGTAGTAATTTACTATTTCACACAAAATTTTGTCACATTCTATTTTATATGTATTTTATAACATAACATAACATCACGCCTTTTATCCCCAAAAGTGGTGGGCAGAGGTGTACATTATACCACTGTACAATGTAACACCTTATTTTCACTATTTATGTTATGAGTTCCATGTAATAGAGGGTGAGCCTATTGCCATATACCGGCCACAATTCGGGACTCCGTGCTACTAGGTACTGAGAATTTATAAAAAAACCCAGTAATACTTTGCCCGACCCGGGAATCAAACCCGAGACCCCTTGCCCGGCAGCTGCACTCGTGACCACTCGGCCAACGACGCGGTCGTTTATATTTTATATTTTACCACAATCTATTTTTGTTTGCCATATGAAGTCAAAAGGCGTTCTAAAGCAGGTCACAGATTGACTGAACTAAATCAATGACTTTGTATCATTATACATTGTAAAATGTGGACACAGAGTTCCCAAAACATTTCCTCACTTGTTTTATTTATAGAAACCCAATTCATTATCTAAACGACTCAAACACACTTAAATATTAATCCTCATTCACATAATCACCTCTTACTGCAGGATAAAATCAGTCTAACTAGTCCTTTTACGACTATCAACATAATTAAACCATTAGCCCGATAATCGAGAAACTATTCAGACGGAGAAATCTCGATTCTCGCGGTATCGATACCGTTTACTTTACATCCATATGTGTATACTTCACTAGTAATTAAGTCACACTCTAAAGCTACAATCTAATTTGCTGATAATATCATACCTCTTTATTAAAATTCTACCTTATCATGTACAGAATAAGGGCTATCCTTACTTCTTTGACGATAAAGATAATGTGGTTGAATGATGTCTCCCGGTTAATTTACTTCGGGAAGGAAATATTTTCGTTCGAAATTCTATTTTGACATTCGTGTTAATCGTCCGCAGGTGTGTACTGGCATTTGTGGTATGTGTCATTGATACTTTAGCTACTGAGGCATTCATCATCTTTGTATAATTTTGGACCACATTTAACTCTGTTTCGACTAATGAATTGGGTAATATTAGACCTCAGATCATATTGCTAATGATTCTATTAGTTCGTTTTAAGTTGCCGTTTCCGTTCCATAATAAATCTATCAAACGTTTGGAGTTAAACCTTACAAAAACCACCAGCTCGTCAGAAATACGCCATCTCTTAAATATCCAATTTTGCCAAACAACCGAATTCCCTCACAAAAACTGTATTCGACTACAACAATCGGATAATTACAGCGATCTTTCATCATGTCAATGTCCGCCATATTGGTGGCCATTAAAAAAGTGTTGCCGTCACCGCGCAGGCGTGGTTCAACAAAAAGCACCTATTTGTTCGATTTTCAAACGGAATTTTAATCGACGCGAGATAAAACTTTTTGCGCGGCTACTGGCCGCTTGCCCTTAAAATATTCCGCGAAAGCCCTTTATCGTTCCAATTAAAATTTCGAACGCAAAATGGCTTCTTTCGTCCGCCATTTTGATGCTCGAGAAAAAATTGGCTTGAATATACTTTTGTGCTACAATAGAACTATAAGTTTATTCGTAACATAGATAAAAATTGAGGTAACTTGGAGTTTACATTACAAAAGATATTAGAGCTTCTACTTAAAATGATCAAAGGCTATGTGAGACGTTTCAGGGTATTAAATGATAAACTCACTATTAGGGAAAGCCAATTTGGGCATGAAAGTAGCACTGACCATAATTATAACAAAAAAGTTATAGAACATCAAATTTTAATACCATCTCCCCAATTGCCACACATCTTAACATATGCAAATACTCCATTATATCTCTACTTTGACATCACTAAAACTATAGTCAACGTAACAACGATCCCCTTTAGTTAGTTCTACCAACATCAAGACACAAAGGGGTACCAACATAAAGATATCATTAAAACCTCCTTTTCCATGTTATTTCTCGACAAAAGTTTGTGTCCTTGTTATGGCAGTATTTCTCTAAAGGCTTTGTGTGAAGCCTAGAGCGAGGCATAGAGGCTTTATACACGTTTTGTAGAAACCTACTTAGTTCTCTGCTATCTTCATTCATAGTAAGATCAAAGGAATGAAATGATAATGGTCTTGAAGTTGTTTTTGATTTTGTTTCTTTTTATTTGTGTTCTATAGCTTGATAATGTTTTTAGATTAAGACGTGATGGTGTCAGTGGTGGTTGTGATCTATACTAATATTATAAAGCTGAAGAGTTTGTTTTTTTGTTTGTTTGTTTGAACGCGCTAATCTCCGAAACTATTGGTCCGATTTGAAAAATTCTTTCTGTGTTAGATAGCCCATTTATCGAGGAAGGCTATAGGCTATAAAATATCACGCTACGATTAATAAGCACCGAGCAGAGCGAGTGAAACCGCGTGGAAGTAGCTAGTATAATATAAGACGTGTAACGTCCCCTTATGCTTGTTAATATGCCTCGAAATTTGGTTTATTAATGACTAGCTTCTGCAAGCGGTTACGCCCGCATACCTGTAGGATAAAAAGTAGCCTATGTGTTATTCCAGGCCA